ATATATATATATATATATTGTAGAGATCATGATATCAATTCCATCTTTCACCTTTTCCTTTTCTTGACGTGTGTTATAAAAAAAATTACCACTTAAAAGTTAGAATTTCAAGCGTTTTTTTGTGTTATATAAAGGAACAAATTCAACTAAATAGAATAAAATAGAACAAGTCAATTAAAGAGAACGAACAGAAAAATAGAGCAAGTCAATGACCCTGTCATTTACATATAAGAGTTTCACAAAATAAGGGAATGAAATAGAAACAGTACTACAATATTATATATGAGCAATGAATAGTAGTGCAATATTATTAGCAGAGAAAAAAATGGAGAAGACAGGAACATAGAAAAAAAAAATGAAAAACTCACTTAGAAATTTTTGAAGCACTTGAAAAGTCACTTCAAATAATCCTCCAAAATCTGATGGGTTTGGATGAGATTGTTTTATGAATTTGGTATTTATAGATAGCACTAAAAAGTCCTTCAAAATTCATCTAACACAACAATCCTTTAAAATCCTTATATTTTTGAATACCAATGGATTATATAATACTTTAAATAAATAGAAATTGTTCTGTAGGGTGTGAAATTTTCTTTTCAGTCATTTTAAAGGGTTGGGAGAAATATTGTTGGAACTTAAAATGTAGGTTATAAGTTAATTTTAATTGTCCTATTTGTTTAGAAACATGATCATTTTGAGGGAAAGAAGAAGAAAAAATTAGGAGCATGACTAAAACTACATAAATACTATTAAGGATTATTTGGATAAACTTCTATAGAATTAAATTTTAAGAGAAAAAATAAGAAGAAAAATTGAAATAAACCTTTTCCTAAGTTAAAACTAATTTATGCACAAATTAAAAATAAAATTTTGAAAAAATTAATAAGAAAGAACTTTTACAAATTATAATATGCATAAATTAATTTTACTTTATTGAAAAATTTATTTCTTTTTTCTTTTTTAAAAGTACTTATAGAAAAGTTTACCCAAATATATCCTAAGAAAAAAAATATTAGAAGCAAGACTAAAACTACATTAAATTGATTCACTTTTTGGCTCATACGTTCAAACTGAGGCTTGACTCTTTCAGTAATGCGATGCCCACAAACGACATACATAGGAGCGGTCATTCTGTTGAAAAAGTAGAGGGAGATATTGAATTTGAACGATACCTTGTCAACATCATGTAAAATTTTAAGTATAATTTAAAAAAATTAAACAATTATCATATTTCAACTTTCAAGATGTGCATGCAATATACTAATCCCACTTGCTTGCTGAAAAGTTAGGTACCTTTTTTCATACACATATATATATATATATATTCTCACAACTTGTAAACAACAACATGAAAATTAAGTAATAGCTTGCTTTCCATCAACATTGTGTGAGCTAAAACACTTTCTTCTCCTCTTGTCTCTTTTTGACACATCTTCATCATCATAACTTCTCCCTCTCAAGTACCATTTTCTTTAATAAACTTGTGATGGAAATTCAGTTCCAACAACCAAACCTGCAGCATCAGAAAGCAGGCATTGCAATCACCAAAGGAGGGAAGTTCAAAGGGAGAAGCAGAAACAACAACACCAACAAATTTGTTGGTGTGAGGCAAAGGCCTTCAGGGAGATGGGTGGCTGAGATCAAAGACACAACTCAGAAGATAAGAATGTGGCTTGGCACATTTGAGACTGCTGAGGAAGCAGCCAGAGCCTATGATGAAGCTGCATGCCTTCTTCGCGGATCCAACACTCGCACCAACTTCATCACTCATGTCTCCTTGGATTCCCCTCTTGCTTCTCGAATCCGAAATCTGCTTAACAACAGAAAAGGTATTAAAAAAGAGGAGGATTCTAATGCTAATGCCCCAAGAGTTAGCACCATTAGCAGTGCTAGTGCTGGTGCTAGTACTAGTGCTAGTACCAATACTAGTACTAATTCAAGCAGTGACAATGACAATAACAACAATAACAAGTCTCTTTCTAATGTGGCAACTCAAAGTTCAAATCTGTTTGATGATGCTTATAAACCAGATTTGAGCAATTGCAGGGAGGAATATGAGTCTAGTCATCAATCCAATGCTTCATGGGGTTTTGGACCTGTCTTTGATCGTTTTCCTATTGCTCAAATATTGGATATTCCAAAGATTGATGATAGCTTCACTGATGCAGCTGACTTTGAGCTTTCAGAATTTGAAAGAATGAAAGTTGAAAGACAAATATCAGCTTCACTCTATGCAATTAATGGGGTGCAAGAGTACATGGAAACTGTTCAAGAATCCAATGAAACACTCTGGGATCTTCCACCCTTATGCTCGTTGTTCTGTTAAACTTGAAGGTCTAAATGATCCTACATTTATTTCTTCTCAATGTCATTGGGCCTATTTACTTTATTATTATTGAAAACTTGAGGTAAGAATGTGGGAACTAAGGATTGATTGAAATATTACAATAACATATATAGCTTTGGTGAGATATAATTTTGTTTTCCTAATTAACTGCTTTCTTAATGTCGGCAGGAAGATCCATGAGTTGCATTAGCTCCTTCTGAAAGCTCTTTTTCAATCACTATAATGTAAAAAGTCTACGTGTTTATGTTCCTCTTTTTCACATCCTAATGTCAAAAGTAAATCTTCACGTCTTTTTGTATCAAAGTCATTTTTCTAGGAATACGTCAGTGTGAAAGACTAGACTTTGGAAACAGAATAAGCAAATTGGAATCTAATCTTAGAACCAAAATCAAAATGACTATTCACGTTGCTTTACATGGATAAACAGTAAAATCACATTAATTTCCTTTAAATATGAAAAGGACAAGTACTATGCTTGCTTCGCTAGTTATTAATGAAAATATGCTTCCGTATCTTCTCAGGATTTTGGTCCAATGCTTTTGAATTACTCATGCCCTTTAGTCATCTGTTTTGGCTATGATTATTTATCCCAATCAATTATGGATACACAAACTTGTCTCATTCTCTTGTCCCAAACCTTAGCGGGTGAACCATCATATAAATGATTAGCTTTGGAATCTTATTTTATAACTTGTAGATTAAGTGATAGGACTAAAATTAAACTACCCATCACATCCAAGGATAAGGTAACATCTTGCTCAGTCTTGTGGACCCAGAATCTCCAATTTTTAATACTCAACTTTCTTAATCCTTATCTGCTTTTCTCTTCCATCTGGCTCGTGAAGAACGCGTTTAGACTTGGCTATCAAGAATAGCACTCTAAAATAACCAAATGGATATTACCAATTGCTAAAATCAGAAGTAAGGGCAAAAGCTAGACAGTGGTTGTTTGTATCTAAGAATAATGTCTGTTGGTCTACTGAGTTGCTAGAAGTGACAAATCCCATGGGAAGTATAAAAAATGATGTGAAAAAATATTGACCAAAACTCCTCACGCATCAGCATAAGACTAGCAAAGAATAAAAAATCATTCTTAGAGGCTTGCTTGAAAGGAATAATTTAGCACAATATTTACCAAAGGAAAGGAATAAAAATATTTATCGTTAAGGATACGCTAGTGATATTTATTTTGCTGAAGAGGTCAAATTTTATCATTTATAGATATTTGACACTACAAAACATGAGTGGAGACAACTCAGGTCTGAACCTGGCTGGTCCTAAGTGTGGTCTTAGATCAAATAAAAACGAAATTGCTTGGGGCGGAGCTTGCAAAGGCATAGTAGTCAAAAATAATTTTGACCAAACAAGTAACTCCTTCAATGAGGGTTGACGCTGACTGTGAAACAACGTCCAAAAAATGGGAGTTGACGATGGAGGCCACCTGGAAACACTCTAATGCTAAATTCATGGAGTTTTAGCAGAGTAATCATATGAGAAAATGAGAAAGTGTAGGTACATGTGCTGTTAGTCTCTATTTATAGCTACCAGAGAAAGATAAGAGAGTAAAAATTATTATACTACATGGACAGTTTGTTACTAAGCGCATTATGTCAATCATGAATTGCTTAGTTTAAACATGACTAACCTGTAACGTGAGTTCCTATTTATAGCTACCAAAGAAAGATAAGAGAGTGAAAATTCTTTTCTGACAGTTTGTTACAAGGCCTAAACATGACTAAATCAACTTAAGTGTGATTTAAATCAGTCAATGTGTGATTAGGTTGGTCTTCACGTGGCCATGTCGAGATGATCATCAATAAGTCAGTTAGAGTGGTTACAAAGTCGGCTAAAGACTTCTCCAGAATTGTTAATGCTGTAAAACTTTTTCTTTATTTTTACTACTATAATTAATTATGGTTGTTTATATTAGTCGGTAAAGTTCTGCTGTAATTATGTTTGCTTAGTCCAGTAGATAATATCTTGTTAGGTATCTGATTTTAGGCAAATCTACACACTTAATGATGATGGGAACATGTGTTTTACTGACAGCATTTATAGGTTCTATGTATGGCTGTCATTTTTCATGTATTTGCCTTATATATGAATGAAAAACAAGCAGAATGGTATGGTTGTTCAGCAAATACGAAATTGTTCTGTTCCCTAACCTTTCCTCTTCTCTGTTTTATGATTTTGTATGATTTTTTATGTTTTATGCTTCTGCTGCCCATTGCATGTCTTAACAAGAATAGTAACTCCCAAGTTGATGTTTTGCTAAAGCATAATGTTAGCTTTAAACGAGTTGGTCGGCTAGGGACTTTACCAGAACAAATAACAAAAAGGGCCTGCTTCATGCAATGTTATACTAATAAAATATTCATAGCATGGTGGACTTCCAGTCTTACACTAATGTTCAATACAAATGGTAGATTATTTTATTTTTTTATCATTTGCTATTTTTCTCTCCATTTCTTTTAACATGAAAAAAATAAAAGGGTTTTAATCCAATATAAACTAGGTAAATTCTACAACTGGTTTATGTTAAAGGATTGCATCCTCCAAATCCAATTCTGCTTAGACCTTCAAATCTGAAATTAATATACCTGATCTTTTATGTACAAAGACCATGTAACAATAATTTCCACCAATGTTGTATAACATGAAAGTGTAGAAGTAGAACTACAGACCTTCAAGTTGGTTCCTCAAACACTTGGTTTTGAAATATAGAATTTCTTGTAATTGGTTGGAGTGAATATGAAAGTAGGAAATGATAATAAATTGAGTATTGACATATATCGCCCAAATACATTACCATTTTTTACCTCTTCACTTTCGACTAGCCTATTTTCAAGTCATATAAAGCACAGCAGAAGTGAGTTACATACAATTATTTTGGCAGCGCCTTCTATGGTTTTACAGCACATGAGCTGTGGTTTAATACTGGAAATACAGTGAAACAACAAATAGTGGCTAGTTCAGGTGGAAAGTGATCATATGAAAGTTTGGATATACGTTATTAAAGTTTTTCACTGCAGTTCCTTAGGCCTATTTACTTGTATTTTCTTTTTCACTTTTTCATTATAGAACTGCTACTTTATTTTCACTTTGTTTGCTGTTTTCGAATATATGTATAGGAAACAGAGAAAACAAAAATTAAAGTTGTTTCCGGTGCTTATACAAATCTTTGATAACAAAAAACCAACATATCATTTGTTCGAATAATACTAAATTCGGTCTCTTTAATTAGTTCAGAGGTTCGAGACTTACAAATAGAAAAAATGTGATTAGAAAGGAAGATCCTATTAAAGGTGATTCAGCTAGGTTCCTTGATGAAGATTAATCATTGGTGAAATTGGTAGATACTTCATATCAATAAGACAACAATTTTGTAATTAACAAGTAAAAATAGAAAGTTAAAACAAGAATTTTCTTTTGGCCATATTTGTACATATTATTGCAAAAGATAAAATAAACATATAATTTATTTGAAGTAATGGAAATTTGTAGCATTCCTACCAGCCATTTATTCCGCTCTTTCACATAAACATCCAAGTGATTCAAAATGACAAATAAACCACTTCTGCTCATGAAGAAAGCAATTGTCTCACTCAACACTAGCATGAAACAATAGTAAGAACAGAGCTAGCACACAACAGAAAGATCCTTAAAAAACAATGGACAATAACAGATACTAGACAGAGAAATGAAGGGAGAAGAAATGCAGGTAAGGTAGCTTAAGATGAAGCTTTCAGTAACCTTCTTCAGCTTCTTCTTCTGTACCTTCTGCTCCAACCTCTTCATAGTCCTTTTCAAGAGCAGCAAGATCCTCCCGGGCTTCTGAGAATTCACCTTCTTCCATTCCTTCACCCACATACCAGTGGACAAATGCCCTCTTAGCATACATGAGGTCAAATTTGTAATCAATGCGAGAGAAAACCTCAGCAACGGCTGTGTTGTTGCTTATCATACAAACCGCTCGCTGCACCTTGGCAAGATCACCTCCTGGTACCACTGTTGGAGGCTGGTAGTTGATTCCACACTTGAAACCAGTAGGACACCTGAAATTTGTCATAAAAATCACACTATTAAGAGTTTTGTAATGAAAAATGGAAAACTTGAAAGAATATGTCCTCAAAACAGCTATATTGGACTAAGTGTCATGTAGTTAGAATTATAATAGAAGGAACAAAGTTACAAAACCATTAGGAAAGGAACACAATCTAAACCATCACTCATAGAGTCTGTTTGGATAAACTTCTTTCTAAGCACTTCTGAAAGATAATATCAGATAACTTCAACATAGAAGTTAACATGAGATAACTTTTACAAATTATCATAAGCTAATTTTTAAGTATTTAGAGAAGTTTATTCTATTTTTTTCTCCTTATTTTCTTCTTGTTTATGAAATTTTTTATCCAAACAAGTCCATAATATGACATTCCAAGGAAGTTTAATTACCAGTCAACAAACTGAACTGTTCGCTTTGTCTTGATATTTGAAACAGCTGCATTTACATCTTTGGGAACAACATCTCCGCGATACATCAGGCAGCATGCCATGTACTTGCCATGCCTTGGATCACACTTGGCCATCATACTTGATGGCTCAAAAACAGCACTGGTGATCTCAGGAACTGATAGCTGCTCATGGAAGGCCTTTGCAGCGGATATTACAGGTGCATAAGATGAAAGCATGAAATGGATACGAGGATATGGCACAAGATTAGTCTGGAACTCAGTAATGTCCACATTAATTGCGCCGTCAAATCTCAAGGAAGTGGTCAAGGAAGAGATAATTTGAGATATCAGACGGTTCAAGTTAGTGTACGTTGGCCTTTCTATATCTAATGATTTTCTACAGATATCATATATTGCTTCATTGTCCAAAAGCACAACCACATCAGTGTGCTCAAGAAGAGAATGAGTGGAAAGTACACTGTTGTAAGGTTCAACAACTGCTGTGGATACCTGCATGATAAATAGTACTACCATAAGGGCATTCCGCATGGATAATCAATAACAATATACACATATAAACAATTAAGAAGCAAACCATACAACACAATTAAGAAAAGCAAGAAATCCTAGGACGATGTAGAGCAACAAATGCCGAAGTATCTATAGTAATATAAGCCTACTAGGTAGTTCCCCTTGTGACAAAAAGTTTGTTTACAACTTTAGAAGAGTTTTTGAAAGCTTTTCTATTGAAAATAAAGAGTTTTTTTTCGGTAGAAAAGCTCTGAAAAACTCTTTTTAAGTTTGTATCCAAACAAACTAAATGTTACATCACATCTTAGAACACTCAAAAATAAAATAGAGGACATGACAACCTACTAAACATCACTGGATTTGTTTCCATTTGAATTTATATTTCTCACAGGAATAATGTCTTGAATAAAAGACCAGAAAATCAGAAGTCGGAATGATATTATCAAGTGTTTGATCATTGATAAACACACAGTTCATTTTACTTTCTCTGTTATTTTCCAATGATTTTAAGAAAATACCTGAGGAGAAGGATAGATGGTAAAGCCAAGTTTAGACTTCTTCCCATAATCGACAGACAACCGTTCCAAAAGCAATGATCCCAAACCAGAACCAGTACCACCACCAACAGCATTGAAAACCAAGAATCCTTGCAAGCCAGTGCAATTGTCTGCTAATTTTCTGATACGATCAAGGCATAGTTCAACAATTTCTCTTCCAACTGCAGCATAGATACACAGTAAGTGGCACTGTCCAGCTAAACAAAGAAAAGAATAGCCAATGTAATGTTCCCTTGCATCAGAAATTTGACTTACCAGTGTAGTGTCCCCTTGCAAAATTATTAGCAGCATCTTCCTTGCCAGAGATTAATTGCTCAGGGTGAAAGAGTTGTCTGTAAGCACCAGTTCTTACTTCATCAATAACACTAGGTTCCAGATCAACAAATAAAGCCCTTGGCACATGCTTTCCGGATCCGGTCTCACTGAAGAAGGTGTTGAAAGCATCATGTGCAATGCCAATTGTGGTATCACTGCAAGCAGATAGAAATGAAAATTGTTGTACCCAAAGAAAAGGGAAAAACAGTTAGAATGACTTTCGAAACATAGATCAAAACAAAAATCAAGCTCTAGCTTCAGGGTAATGAGAAATTAAAAGCTTATAAAGTTATAAAATTCATTCAATGACTTTCGACTTCATATGGTTTTACACTCTACACCCCACCAAGAGTCCACAATAACTCAACCAATTAATGGGAAACACAAGTAGAAACAACATGGGGAAATTAAATTATAAGATTCCAAAATTACATCTAAACATATAACTATAGATAGAGTATGTTTTAGTCTGTTGAACCAAATTGAAGAAATATTCCTAGTTTTCCAATTTGGCAGAGTGCTAAACAATGGATCTTTTATATGTGGAAATTAAACATAAGAGATTGTCGTAGACACAAAAGGCATTTCTTTATTTATTCTTTTCATTAGGGGTGACAATTACAATAGAGTAATATGAACCGAACTATTTATGCATATTATTATGTTACTCAACATGACACGATCAAGGTTGATATCTACAAATGACCCTTTATGAAAACAAGAAAAACCCAAAGCAGTTTGGAAAATATATTAAGGATTCCATCTAACTGATCAGGTAAGACAAGTTGAAAATCAATCAAATTAAGCTTTCTTATATATTCAAGGTAACAAATTGAGTGGAAAAAAAAAACACCAAAGTCAAAAGACCTGAAGAATCAAGCCAATTCCATGAAGATACAACCTAATCAATACAGAATTGATGTAAACAACACATAACACAGCACTGATCACATAAAGCAATGTACCTGGGCATGGTGCCATCAGGGTTAATTCCATGCTCAAGGCAATACAGCTCCCAACATGAATTCCCCACCTGAATTCCGGCTTGTCCAATATGAATACTTATTATCTCTCTCATCTTCAGTGTCTCAGAAGGAGGAGGAAAGTGCGAAGGGGAGAGAGCAAAGAAGATTCTTTTATGTTTGTTTTATCTCTTTAGCGTTATAACGTGACATGAACACAACAACTCAATAAGTGAAGGATGGACAAAAAGTCAAATGGTTACAAAGTTTTAACAGTTGATAAATATCTCAAATTATTGAAGAGAGTTCTGTGATAATGAAGTGGGTCCCCTCATTTGGAGATAACTGCTTGGTGGGGTTGAAGGGGTCCATGCTTTTGGTCGGTTTCCAACTTATCTGTGGGGCAGAAGTCCTTGTCTCCTCATGTCAAAATAACTCACCACAAGGCAGGCACAGCAAAAACATAAAATATATATTTTCAAAATATCTATATTTATTACTGAATGAATTCATTCAACTTAATTAGTAGTTTTTGTTCTAACTTTTAAATATATAACCACATTATTTAGAGAGAGAATTACGCTGTTCATAATAATATTACTAGTTCGATGAGAATTATTTTCAGGCAAGATACATATGATTGAAAAAGAAAAACTATCTATCTTAAGCTTAATTAGTAGTTTTTAGTGTGTTCTAAATAATTGTATAAAAGAATTTTTCGGTTTATAATAATCTTACTTTATCGAATAGGGTTGTTTCTACGAAAGATACATACATGTGCTTCGTAACAAAAGGAAAACAAAATCCTATCTTGTATTCGTGACGCATCTTTTTCCATAGAGGCTGGTACAGCTATACAGCTGTGACCATGTTAGCCTTCCACGTTTCTCTTCAATTAAGACTGTCAAGTCAGATATTTTTTGTATACTGTGACAGATATTTTTATATTTTTTATAACACCACGGGTATATGATCATAATAATTGAGTGATTTATACTTACACTTATTAGATTAGGGTTTAGTAAAAATTGATAGAGATAGAAAATATTGAGAAAAAAAAAGGACCTTATATTTGTGATGATGTGTATCCTTACTACTTAGGGTTGTAATAATCGATGGATTTCTGTGCTGTGTATAGTAAAAAGCAGTGATGATTTTTTTTTTTTTTCTGTACTATATATTGGTCTATCAATTTTGGTATCTGACAAGATGGTTCAATAGTAGTATAGTACTTACTGAGTACAGTTAGCCTTTCCTACCAAAATCAGTGAAAGCAGAATAACAATCATGAGAAAATCTAGAGTTACCTATTGTTGAGAATGTTCAGAAGAAATATCAGCGCTGGTAATCAAGAAAGTTCCTATCCATGCAATTCTGTACTTTAATATGGGCTAACTTCATGTAGAACATTGTGCAGACTAGACCTCTTTATGATTGGTTCATTTGGTCATGTCAGTTGCGACTTCAACTATCACTGCCACGGATCTTTGAAACATGAAAGGCTGAATCAACCATACCTTCATCTCTAGGTGGAAGGGGTGTTAAATTTAATTTTGTTATGTAAACAAAATTATATTTTCTTATCAGGAGATTGTTCCTAACTTCATAATTACTTGGACAAGAAAGGAGGATAGGATGTGCCCCCACTCCATTAAATTGCAATTGCTGCTTTGTTTAGGGGAAGGGTGAGGAATTGAAAAGAATGGGAAGGAATTATGAGGAATTAATTGGAGAATTTTGAATTAGATGAAGAATTAATTAATTTGGCTCCCAATCATAGAGGACAACATTGAAATGACCTACAGTAGCTCATGCCAAAGCTCATCACCTATAGCATCATAGATCATAAATATGAACTGGGTAAAAGAGATGTCTTCTTAATAAGATGGTTAGGTGAACCCATTTTTCAAAATGATCAACAACGACATCAACTTATAGTAGGCCACACCTCCAGCCAATTTAATAAGCCACTAGAGCAACCAACAATATCCCCCCCCAGCCAATTTAATAAGCCACTAGAGCAACCAACAATATCCACATGAAATTTGTTCTCAAATGTCTGATAAATGGTATATGGCTAGCTGATTTTACTTTAACAAAAATACTCATTCGTACAATACAATTTTTTTATTGGTGACTGCAGCATGCTTGATAAACATTTTCTAAAAAGGTACCTACTATATAGTTTGAAAAGTTCTCACGAAGATATATTTTGAATTAAAAAAATTAAATAATTAATAAATTATTTCAAATGCATGCTTTGATATAATTTTTTTTGCCAAATACCTTGTCTTTCGCCACAAGATATTATGGTTTATCTGATAAGTGCATGTTCAATAGCACATGATAAAAAAAAATTACTAAAAATATTCATTATGTTAAGTATAAAAAATATTCCATATTTACTTTGTTAAAAATACTTTAAAGTATTTTTATAAAATGTATTTAATGTTTTCACATTATTTATTTTAAAACACACAACTCATCCCTACCCCCTCACAGCTGGAACCATCTACTCATACAGGGCTGATCCCGTGGGAAAAAAAATTATATTTCCTTAAAAGACTAGAAAAAGAATTTAGCGCTTAAAAATTAAAAATATAAGTTTTATTAAACAATATAATATTTAATGTTCTTGATACATTTTTGTCATAATTTTTAATGAAAACCCTTTCACTTGCAAACTACACTTGACCTTGAAACAAAATTACAAGGAAATTAAAGACTTATAACATTTGCAAGAACTACATGAGCCACTTAAGAAAGAGGCTCCTCTTAAATAATTAGAGGATGATTTTAGTAGAAATTAATTAAGGTTGGTCAAAGCATTCATGATAAACTAATTTTTGTACATTTTTTTATGCATTGATTTTTGTTTACTTGACTTTCATTAATTTATATTATTATATATTAACTTTGATTTGTTCTAATGAGTCATTTTGGTCCTAATAGTAAATTTTAGTTAATTTTTATAATTTTTTTTTGTTTTAACATTATTTCTTGTGCAAGTCATATCTAGAGCTCTCAACATTGAATTTGGACATTTTTAGTGTTCCTGAAAATATAAGAGAGAGTTATACAACTTCTTTATTGACAGAAAAGGCCAATTCACATGTGAAGTGACCAAAAAATGCATTGCAATGTTGTGACTCTACATAGTATTTTCTTTTTTATTTTTAGAATGTAATGTTATTATTTATTTAGTGATATAATTAATTGATTAAGTGGGTCGGGCCTTATAAAAATTCTGATTAGGCCCACTATATTTCTATATTAATAGGTGTTGTGAGACTTGTTATGTACACTTTACACTCATTTATTATATTTTAGAATTATTTTCTCTACAAGTTTATCTAAATTCTCTCTCTTGAAATTTCCTCTTTACATTTTTCTAAACTAAGGAACTACAGTGCCTTGATGAAGATGTGTGACTAATTCGTTCATTTGATTTAAAGTTTCATGAATTACAGTAAAATTTGAGTTCTCGATTTATTTTTATCGTACAAATTCTTTTCGTCTTCTTCTATGTTCTTGATCTATTTTCAATTTTTCATGATTATAAATTTTGTTTTAATAGATCTGGATTAGATTTGAAGATTAATTTTGGGTCTAGATCTAGACCTAAAATAACATAAATCACTTAAATCAACCGTTCACTATTCTTGAATTTCACGAAAATTGTGAGATCGTGATTGCATTTCACACTTTTATGAAATTTAATAAATTTAGATTTAGATCAACATTTAGATTATGTTCATATTGATTTAGGTTGATTGAATTTAGATTATAATTTGAATCATGAAAATTTTATATTGAGATTGAAATCTTAAATCGATGTCATTTTCAATTGAATTTTTTATTTGTGTTTGTAATACTCTAATTTGTCTTTGCTTTTCATAAAAATTCTCTTCCTAATTATGTGATAATTTTGAATCTTATTGGTTTGTGTCTTCGAGAAGAATGACTTAGGTTGTTTCCTATATTACAAATCTTTGTAAAAAATTTAGTAATTTTTTATAGTAATTCGACAACGTTGTTGATTCACACTTCGATTTTCTGCTCTTTAAACATGTAGGGTTAATTTAAGATCAATTAGATGTGAGACTTTGTCTTGCACCTCCACTAACTTCTCCATGTTAAAAGTATTCTCATTTGATGCTTTGCACACGACTTTCAAATTCAAGCGAGAGTTCACTTTCGATTCCAAAGCTAAATAACAAATGTTCAATGATAGTTATTTCTAGTGCTATAAAATTTTTCTTTTATAGCTTTTAAGTAATTTTTAAAATATAAAAATAATTAATTCAAACACACAATAATAACTTTTATGCTTGGCAAGAAGTAAAGAAGTTTAGCAACCGCCCAAGTTTTGAACATTCATAAAAGTAACTTGTTTCATCTTGATCCCATGATTAAATTATATATGTGTACATTTACATATCATCATCTCAAGTTCTCCAGGAACTACTTCCAAAAATCTCAAAGTGATCCTCTATGCCTTCATGTAAGTTGACCATTTATCCATCAAAATTAGCCCACTGGACCTTTATTATACTAGGATCGGTCCATCGCAGATTGACCTTAAGAGACTTGACTTAGAGGAGATTGGTCTATAGGAGATTGACATAAAGGTGATTAATACAAAAGAGATCAACATAGAGGAGATTGGCCTAAGGGAGATCCCCCTAGAGGAGATTGACCCAAAGATATTGAATTTAGTCTAGGGAGATCACCCTTGTAGTGTACACCTAATCAAATTTTATCTCATCTGGGTAGTTGACTTGTAATTGGTCAATAGTCCTAATTAGATTGAGTCCCTAGAGGGTTCATAACCTTGAGGTTTGAGCACATAAGTGTGAAAAGACTCATAAGTCAATTTTGACATAATCAAATTTAGTTCTCAAAGGATACATAACTCTTAAGGCTCGAGCACATAAGTGCAAATAGAATTCTAAGTTAGTTTGGACATAATCGGATTTAGTCCTAGTAAATATAATACTTTCACTACAAGAAAATGACGATTTTGCGACAGTTATATGACCTACATTGCGACGGTTAAAACTGCCGCAAAGACACAATTGCGACGGTTCACCAACCGTCGCAGAAATGTCCGTCACGAGGGAATTTTGCGACGGTTACTAAAACCGTTGCACAAACCGTCGCAAAATTGGAATTGCGACCCTTACAGCACTCGTCCCACCAACTGCCTCTAAATCAGTCGTTAAATATTTATTTTTTATTTTATTAAATTTTTTAGACGTCTCAAATTCAGTTGTTATTCTTCTCAAGGATTCTATTTCACAATACTTCACTTTTTAGCATGTTTTGTCCTTACTTACACAGTTTCTGAGAAACTTCCCAGAAGGTCACTCATCTCTATATTACTCTAAGTCAAGCACACTTAATTGTGGAGTTCTGATAAGATAAGCTACAGAAAAGCATATACATGTTATCAGTATAAGTAGTACAAATTAATTCATTTAAGTCATTCTCAACTATACAATCTCATACTTATACTATCTTTGGATCCCTCTCATTCCGGTGTGTCCGAACCGTTATAAATATATAATAATTATATTACTAATAATAACTATATTATATTTAATTAATCTTTATTTATATATATACTTACTTTTATAATTAACAATCTACTTATTTCTATTTAAAATTAATATTATGATATAATTTAAATTATTTATTATAAATTTAAAAGTTTAAATAATAATTTATATATTTTAAAATGAGAAAGGTTATAATAACACTGGTGTAACTTTTACTAAGTATTACACCGCTTAATAATCTTATATTAAATGTGAATTTTGTAAATCCAACCGTTGGATTGAAAGTTCATATCACTTTATATGTTTATATCAAATTTTGTTAAAATTGAACAAC